GCTGTTCTTCATTTTCTATGAGTGTCACTAGAGAAGTCCCGCTATGCCTATCTCCCGGTTGCCTTTGAAGGTTCAGGGTTTCTCACAATCACTTCAGTGCAGATGGTTCAATGGCTGCTGTGGCTGTGGAATAGAGGCTCTCTGTGCACAAGGGGAAAGCAGTTCAGGGCACCTCTTCCTCTTTGCTGGGCTCACAGGCGGAGGAACAGTGCAGGCCAGCCGCATCCTTCTCACTTAGTCAGAGGCCAACAGCCAAACCAACAGCCATTTTAGCTGTAAGCATGCTGGGTTTGTATTTGAATGTCATGGGAATGCAGGAAATCAGATTAGTCCCTGACCACGCTTAAGTCAACAGCAAACATGTGCCAGGAAAGGCCTTATGTCAGTGATGGCGAACCTTTTAGAGACCGAGTGCCCAAACTGCAACCCCAAACCCACTTATGCATTGTCGGGTGCCGGGTGGGTGTGGCCCATTGGGTGGGTGTGGCCCATTGGGTGGGTGTGGCCCATTGGCTGGGCATGGCTGCGGTGGTAACGGCAGACTGGGTGGGATTAAAAAGTTCAATCAATCAATTCCAACTTTGCAAGATCTTTTTTTTTCCCCGCAAGAAGTTGAAATTGACTCATTGATTGAACCTCTTTTTTTTTTGCACATGGCGGCGGAGGCCTAAAGCGAAAAGGTTTTATAAAATCCAGCTGAAGGCCTAGGACTGGGGCGACGGCGTGCGTGCCCACAGAGAGGGCTCTGAGTGCCGCCTCTGGCACACGTGCCATAGATTCGCCACCACTGCCTTATGTTCTGTCTTTGGTTGGCTTAAAGAAAATCAGTGTTAAACATATGTCCCTCTTTGGTTCGATGTTTTAAAGGAATTTGTATATGATGGGTGTCTTTAGGTTATGATACAGTAAACTTCCCAATCAATTATGTTTGATGAGTAATGGAACATTTGAAGTGGTAAGGGATCACTTTAATTGCAGAGACACTTTGCTTCTTTGTAAAAGGACTTGGTAGAATATTTTAATTTTGCTGCTATGGAACACTGATACAAGAAAAATAATAAATTCAATTGATAAAATAATATTTTACTACATTAGAAAAAACGTTCCTAAGTAACATGGTGCTGTTCTCAAGGTCACTGGAGAATTGCATGAAAAAGCTAATTTATTTGAAGGAAATGCTTGCTTTTAATTTTAAAGCTACTTTTTAAA